AAGGTAACAATAACAGTTTATTTTCATAGTAAGTATCAGTAAAACGGCAAGCGGAAGGCGGGAAAGCTTCCCCAGCCAACCGAACGGTAACATTTGATTTATATTTCCTACGACGCAGCGCCTCGCTGACTCACTGTGCGATTATAATCTTTAAAAGGGTTAAAAACAACACATAATGCGTTAGGTGTGTTATAAAACCGGACATTGACAATTTTTATTGTGCACAAAAAAATAAAAAATTCATATTTAGAACATCGATAATGGCGGGAAGGGATTATAGAATCATGTCAGTGTACACAGAGAAGTAAAGTGTAGCCTAAAGCCCTTTTTCGCGACAATTTTGGAATTTCATATGTCGCCCTTTTAATGTCCTCAGGGTACGGTAAATTCAATTGTTATCATACAAATTGTATGATCGCTTAAGTAACGAACAAGTACTATTATAAGAGTTAATTCACACGTATAGATTATTGAATGAATATACTAACGCTTGAAGAATTCCTTTTCATATAACTATAATAGTTTATGCAACACAATATAGAAACAGTTTAAAAATTAAATAAACAATAAAGATTATGAGTTAAAAGATTAACAATTGTTATCCAAACAGGAGAATGACTCAACTAAGGATACAAACTTAGAAATCGCAGTTATTGTGGAAACATTTAGATTACAAAAGCATAATATGAATAAAGTACATGATAAAATAATTTCGTGTGAATTTGCAATAACCAAAATACGACAAGAACCGGGGTCGCGCGGCCAACTAAAAATATACGACGCCACAGGACGAGACGTCTGGATAATCTAAAACGGTTACAATCGATACACAGTGGGCGACGAAGGTTTTTGCACATTGAAAACATAAAATAGCTTTGACTTTACCCCGCACACATGTTTGTTTTGATTCAATACATTGTTGAAAAAGGAAAATACATTACAATGACGATATCATTGAACGTAGTCACGGCTGTCCCTGCGGCATACACTGCGTTGCTGCCTCAATGTACGCAGGAACTTTTTTCCTTCCACGTAACGGTAGCATAGTTATTTATGAAACCCTAACTTTTGCCTGCGACTTCGACCGCGCAAAAAAAAACGATTAAGGTTGGCAGTCTAAAAAATTACATAAAACTTATTGTGAAAGTTTTTTAACGATAGAAATGGATAACAATATATTAAATGTGAACATTTTAGTAATTCACACTGACTAAAATATCCACCACATGGGAGAATCATACTTTTTTCCTTGACTTCAATGCACATTCAAAAAACCATAACCATAATACTTTCTAAGAATACCACATCACAACTAACCTTCAATGTTTAATTTTGAGAATAAAATGATACAGTTATAATCGCCTAAGCCGATTAACGATGGGTTTTGAGGTTCAGTTTAGAGGCTGTGATGACGCATCGAGCTTACGCCGCGAGGCTGGCCTTCTCGTACGCGACTCAATGGCGACACTGCAAATAACTGCTATAGTACATATTACTACTTCGTATAGTCTTTAATGGTCGTAATTTTACGTGACCGGTTTGAGGAATCCCGACCTTCAATAATCACTGGAAGATAAAAAAGAACGAAAGTTTGAAAAGAAACAAGCTATTGTACCTACGATGTATTAACGTTATTAAAAAAACATCAAACGATTTCGTTGAAATTAGGAGAAATCAAAGTCGAAATTCAAATTTAGGAGACTTTCTAATTTAAAACATTAATCCAATACGAATTGTAATATTATTACTTTTTTAACAAGTTGAGGGCCATTGTCTCGATTAGCGAGTTCACTTTCATTTGAAAAAGCATGAAATGTGTTAAGTCACATTATCTCACAAATTAGATAACCAATATAGAGAATCGGTTTAAGAAAAGACAACCGCATTCACTATCGAGAAATACCAGAGTAAAATTACTATTGCGTGTGGACCGGTAGAGTAGGCTTTGCGCAACACTTAGCTATTCAACTGTTCATAAGAACGAATGTTCGTGCGAGATTTACTTTGCATGTACACAGCAACACTTGCGGTGGGTCTCCACTGACGAAACACCCACACAAATCCATATTGTCTTCCTTCCTAGCAATGGAAGCTAACGTTTATTAGACTATTAGACACAACAAATGTAATGTCCTTTGCCAAGATTCATTTAAAAAAATATTATCACATTTTTGCTTTTGTGTAAATAGAGCGATTACGAGCGATTTTTATAACATTCTGTAATTATTGATAGAGTACTTCAACACTCATTGTTCTCGACAAATGAGTCATAAATATAAGTTTTGACACTAGAGCCAACACAAATTGTTGTTCTGATTGCATTGTTTCAGACAGTTTATAGATAGCCTATTCCAGATCTTTATTAGTTAGAAAAACATCGTAACTTATAATTACAGAATTACTCCCATTGTTTTATACAAACAGTAAAAGGTAACAACAGTTTTGTTCTTACGTACATAATTTTAGTAATCATCGTTATAAAACTAGTTTCCTATACAATCGATACAATTGTTTTGATACCAGTCCGTGACATTGTCATCACTATTTTATCCGAATTTTGCAACATTTTCAAATTTAAAATATTCGTACAAAAGCTTAAATCTTCAGCAGTTTACATCGCATAAAAGCAAGGTTTCTAAGTGCAGAACTCTACAGAATATGCTAATCAAGTGATGGATAAAAGTATATCCTTTATTTCATGACGTACTTAAAGCACATCATGTACAAGCTGCAGCCAACGTGAATGCGAGTGGAAGACTTGACCCACTTGTTTAATGCACACTGAAATCTGGCGACTCATTTAGATGGCTCGCAAATATAAATTAGATTTAAATAAAAGACTATCTTCCGTTAATTGCAACGGAGTTTCTCCTACCACTACATTAATTGGATGGTTTAATTTTAATGTGAAATAAAGCAAAAAACATTTCAAGCGTGGTCATGGTTATACATTTTTCCAAAAAAACTAAATAATTAACACATCACAACATACCCGTTATTTCTTAATCATCCATCAAACACAATGTATCTTTAACATTTAATCACTCAACTGGTTTACTCCAACGCTCTTAAGTCTTAAAGTTAACAAAACACAGCTGTACACGAGCACTTAATGAAAAAATACAACGAATCACAGACTCCTTATTTACATCCGCCGCATCGTGAGTCAAACAATTTCTGTTTGTTTACATCACAACATTTAGACGATCGCAATAAACATTCGCGCATTTAAACGCAAGTGGGGACACCTTTTAGACACAACGCGCACGTGCTGTCGCTGCAACAACCCAGTGGCGACTGAAACTGAACATACATTGGTTGGGGATCAATTGTATGGGGAAGGCGATGCCAGTGAAAATTGGCTAGATTTTAACAAATTTTATAAAACAAACGAGACAATAGTAAATATACTATCTCAGCATATTTTCATGTTATGCAATGCCATTTTGTTTTTCAAATATCACTCGACAATTCGTCGAATACACTGGGAATACCTAAATAAAGTTTTTGTAAATAACCCAAAAAACTGAAATTTTCTAGTACAATCCAACAAAGGAACGCGATCAGTCATACTGAAAATATTCATACACTGTCATTGGGACAATTTAATCTGTAGAATTGAAGTAAATCCGACATAACAAGATTTCTTTTTCTGATTATCAGCGTAACGTATATACGTACTTAGACGGTTAACAAGATATTTAAAATGTCTGTCTCTAATTAAATGTCAAGAAAAAAATATGAACATGTTATCTTTGTAGAGCTTGGGTGAATGATAAAAATAACAAGCCTTCTATATTAAATGCGACAATCATTAAAACACAGCGAGTTGCTGACCGTTGAATAAGAAACTATTAAATAAAGAAAGCACACAGTTCTTAAACATTAATTATTCATTATTAAACAATATAAGTAATGAAAAGGACAAGGTGACCTCATGCATCACCGTTAGCAGTCGGCATAGTAAACATACGACTGTGTTACTATGTGCAAAAAGTACTAAACAATAAGACACGCAACGATTGCGCGTTCACTTCCTACCTCCGTTATGGATATCTGATTGCGGCTGAGCGAAGTGACTCAAACGCACGCAGGAAACGTTTTGAAACCACGGTAATAGA